TTCCAAGTCACTTATGGTTATGTGAACGCATTCACACACATATAATACATAATATACATATATTGATATATATATATATATATGATTGCAGCAGTCAATTGAAATAATATGCATACAGCCTGTACTTGTAGCGATTGTTCTGCAGGATGGAATTGTTGATAAATTCACATGTGTTAAGTTTAAGTCAAATAACGCGGAAATCATAAAATAGACCCAGTTACCAATAGTCGACTGATAATATTTTCGGAGTGGATGGGAGGGAGGTTCAAAGTCTGTTTGCTTATAATACGTTAAGCAGTTTAAACACATTAACATTGTACACGTATCATAGTTATAGCGTACTTTATAATTCTATCTAAATATATTTATTTGTACGGTGATTGATAAACATTTTTAGAAAACGACGTGCAATAGTTTTTTTTTTTTTTTTTAACGCAATAACTAATAATCAAGACAAAACCGAATACCAAGTACTACCAACTACCTATCTTAAGTCGTGACTAGAAAAATCTTTACTTAAGTATTTTTATTTTAAATAATGTAGTATAATTATTATTATTATTATATATTAGAGGACGAGTACCACAAAAATAACAATAATAATTATATCCCAATAAGATAAAACTGATAATTAAAAATAAAAATGGTTAAAATAAAAATTATTACCTAATTATCTGCACAAAAATAATATTAACGATTAAAATGTTTGCATAATCCACCTGTAATACTGTTTTGAACAACACAATTTATAATTTTTAAATACAATTTCTTATTAACATTAATAACACTTTTATTTTATAACTATTATCATTTAGAAATATATATTATTACTTGATTAAAATTTCAAAGTACAATATAATATAACTTATCTGTCTGCGGTTGTTATAAATGTATATATAACTATTAACAAATATACTTTTTTCTCTTTAATAATCTAATATTTACTTTTGCATCTTACTCGTGTATAATTTATCGATTTTAATGAGTAATATAGCCTATATTACTCTCTAGCCAATAAGTATTACCGCTGGGTGATTACTTCATCTTGTCAACCATGCCAATAATGTAAATCCTTAAATATACTTATTTTAAAACTTATTTATAGATTGTATGTATTAAAAATAAAAGTTAAAAATATATATAGGTATAGCCTATATTATAATGAAATATAAAGGATTTTATTTACTCGAGTATCATATATTAATAATTCAATTTAGTTGTATAAAAAAATTAGAGTTTATTTAAGAAATAAAAGTCAAGATTATAGAATATGTCAATAATATACTATAATATTCCTTAAAATAATAACAATTATAATATGTAATGGTCGCACTGTAATTGAACCGCATGTATAAAATTGTAATATTGTACATGTAGGTAACCTTCATGCTTGACTACTTTTTTTTTAACGTTTTATAGTTTAAAATTTACACTAGAATGTGTATGATTACTTAGTGACAGTATTAAATAAATAATATACAACTATATAAGTACTTACATAGTACATAAATATAAATAAATAATTATTAATATATTAACTAAATTTGAACAATATTTATAAACCATAAATCTACATGGATACATCATACTTGACTCAAATAAAATTATATATTATCAGTTGCATGGATTGCGTTATTGGCATTTCTTTTTAAACTAAAACAAATCTTTTTGCCCTTAAATGTCCACGTCATTATTCATTGTTATTTTAATAAATAAACTCACATTGCTCAGTTCTGTAACAGATAGCCTAATAAAGAATTTATTTAAAAAAAAATAATTGTTTTTCCATACGAAATAAAAATGTAGACTTGTGACCGCCTAAGAGGCACCAGGCCGTTGCATTTTAATTTTGGCCTGAGTTCATTTCTAGAAGTTCGGCGCCACTGAAAATATTTTCTGTACTTCTATGATAAAACTTGTATGTACTTATTATCTACAGTTGGCAGTGGCTGCTAGAACACAATAATTTGTATCGATTTACTGCATCAATTTGGAATACACAGTATTATTATTATTAGCGAACTTGTCGACCTGACCGCATTATGACTTTCTGTTATTCGTATTCATTTTTGATCAATATTTTCTGTATATCCACTAATTGTTTTACCGATATGGTCTTTGTCCAATTATCCAAATTTCCAAAGTATTATTTCAGGACACTGTTAGTTGAATGAAATACTGAATGAAAAACCGAATAAAGTTATTTCTAAAATATAAAAGTCTGTAATTTTTAAGTAAGCTTCATAAAAAATTCAATTTTTGTTTTAAAAATTGTATTAAATAACTATAGGTTAGAAAAATTAGCAAAAGGTTTTATAAAAAAAAAAAAAATAAATAGCATTCGTTTAGCACTCGACAGTGCGTTGTTCACTTGTGCGTGCGTGTGTGGAGTACTGGATTATTCTATCCTTTATTGTACCTTGAAGTAGCTCTAACCACTCACACTAATAATCATTTACTATTAATTACCAATTAACATAGATAATATAGAATTCTATATGATTATTTATGTATACTACACAGTACACACAAACACACACACACACACGAGACGACATAAACGTACGTATTTTAATACACCATACAAATTGCCTATACTCTACTCCTTAGTCGAAATCTAATTCCCTTAATAATAATATCAGGATTGATATTTAATATGCATTATGCTTGTGAATATTGTGTTCATTGCAATGATTTAGTTAAAACTATAAAAATTTACTGCAAATTATGAAATGTTTTAACAATAATAATTACAATTTATGTGTTTATGAAAAAGAAAACATTTTTACAAAATATTTTTCATATCGAACTGTTAAAAAATTCTGTACTAATCTACATAAACAATTACGAACGTCAACTTAGAAAATATTAATGTAACTTAATATTATTTTTAGTCAGAAGGCGTCTTTGCCTGGAAATCAACGAAAACGGAAGAAAATAGCAATCGATATACGTAGACCAACCGACTAGCGGTTCTTAAACATTTGTAGAACATGGACCCTTGATGAAAAGCTTTTAGAAATCACTGACCTCCACTTACCAATTTTCTTTTGAATACCTTTTTTTTTTTAAATATCTCACGTTATGCATCTGGACCAGAAACACCGATATCACAACATGAGTGTCGCCAGTCTTCAAGAGGTAGCGGACCACAATTTTTTGTCATTTTTAAGGTGTTCAATGTAGGCAATTTTTTAATGGAGTGCATGCGCTTTGCGTGTATGGTACATCTTAAATCATATTTAATTATCATTTAAAATGAATAATAATAATGATCTAAAATATGAGTAGTAAGTTAAGGAGATTTAATTTCGACCGTTTTTAAAGAGTTCAAATATAAGTCATTTTCTAAGTACGTAGGTGCGAATCGTGTAACCACATACTAAGTATCTTTATAATATGAAGAAAAAAAATAGTGTGTGTGTTCGATTGTGAAAAAGAAATAACGGAACACACTACAAAACTCACGTGTTTCCATAAAATATCAATATCGCTCTACACGAATATTAATTATTATATTTTTTATCGTAAAAAGTATCAATATTTTGCAAATTGTCTAAATTACTGAAAACATACTTGAATTCGTCATAAAATTTACTTGAAAATGACTTTCTTGCATTAATTTGTTTGAGTTTAATACGAATAATATTTCAAAACTCTCAATAGTCGACAATTTTATTGTTCATTAATGCTCATAACTTATTTTAAATTTAAAATACCAAAACAATACTGAACCTAGGTACAGGTTAGGTTTATATTTATATATTTTTAAATCTATATATACAATCTATATGTAAGTTATAATGCTCTACTACTTACTAGGTTTTAAATTTTCTGTAGACTCTAGTCATGGCTTATTATATAAATGATAAACAATGAATAATACTAAGCATCTAAGTAACTGTCTATATTTAGAACCTATTTACCATTATTTATAAGATATAACATAATATTTAGTCCACATTTGACATCATGACATTTTTAAAATCATGATAATGATAACATTTTTATTATTTTTAAGTTATATACAATTTTTACAGTCCGAGTGAAAGCAATTAAGTGCAATGGAAAACATGTGATGAAAAATAATTAATGTATTATAATTTATAACTTTACTCGCTACAGTAAAGTCGATCTATTTAAACTATTTAAAGATATATTATAATATTCAATAACTATTCGAATGGTAAATTTAGTTAGAATAAGTAAAAATAAAAAATAAAAGAAACTAAAAAAATGTGGTGGTGGACGGTGGTTGTAGACTGTAGTTATAGAACATTTCCGAGCTTCAATGGTAGCCATTGTGTACGTCCCACAAGTGGGACGACTAAGGAGAAGAATTCTAGTTAAGTGATTAGAGTATTTCACATTTTAATTTTCACAAATAATAGCGGAATTAGTTTTTTAATATTTTTTTTAAGTTATAAATAGGTAAAAAAAATGTACCTATCTATTAATCCGATGAAAATACTGCACACTCTGAACACAACTTTCTATCCGCCTATAAGTTTTGAATATTTACTGTATTGAAATCTGCATTTGACAGTTATTGAGTAAAAATTAAATAATTTTGATTATTAAAAACATCACGTGCAGGTTTCAGTCAAGAAAATCAAAAATCAAAATAGTAGGTACTTTTAATTTTTATCATATATGAGAACCTTGATAAGAACCGTAGATGAAAATATAAATATTGTTGAACACGAAATAACAGTAGCACCATAGAGTCTATGGGTAACACTATTACCTATCACAAAATATATAATATGTGATGTGATAATATGTTAACACGTCTGAGTGTGATAAGATATAATTTCAAAAATTTCGTATACTTTTTAGTTTTTATTAAAATAGTCTTTCATTTCAATAGGTATTCATTATTATTATTTATCTATGTTTTTCCATTATAATATTTGATTATTAAAATAATGATAATAATAGTAAAATGTGTTGATTGTTAAACAATAAATGGTCAGTTTTTGAATTATAAACGACACATTTTGTAATAGTATGAATAATATGAGTTAAATTTAAAATTATTTTGAATATTGTTATGGCCGAAGAAATAGAAAATTTCTATGGAGTATACCTATTGTATTGCCTAAATGAAAAGAGCAAAGGAAAAACTTACATTGGCTATACCAAGGATCCCAATCGCCGTATAAAACAACACAACAAAGGTGTTAAAAGTGGAGGCGCCAGAAAAACCAGTCTTCGTGGGCCATGGTAGATACTATATTGATCTAATTATAATTAATGTTAATTTATAAAATTGTATTTTAATAGATACTAATTTTTCTTTAGGGAAATGGTTTTGATTGTACACGGATTCCCTAACGATATATCAGCATTAAGAGTATGATGTTAGTCATTAAAATTCAAGAACTGAATAATAACAGATTATTTTTTTTTAGTTTGAATGGGCATGGCAAAATCCTAAGACATCTAGACGATTGAAACACATAGCACAAAAAGCAAGAACTGAAAAAGCATATGACTATTGTATCCGCATACTTTCTGAAATGCTGCATGTGGGCCCATGGAATCGTCTAGCTTTAAACATCCGGTGGCTAAATATGCTTTATCATCGTGACTTTAGTGTAAGTAAAGTCATAAATCATACAACTTATACAGTATAAAATATCTTATATCATTACTTAAAATTATAATATTAATTTTCTAGAACGACAAATTCCCACCCATGCACATGTCTATATGTCAAGGACCAGTTGTATGTAAAAAACCTGTGTCACCAAGTGATACCAGCTTGATGGACGGCAGTAAATGTCAAATATGTGTTTTGTGTGCACGTAATTGTTCTGCAGAAAGTCTATTAAATTGTTTAGATCCAGATTGTCAAGCAGCCACTCATATACTGTGTCTCGCCAAACGATTCTTAGGATCGTCTGATCATGTTATACCCATAGATGGTGAATGTCCAGCATGTGGCATCCGCGTCTTTTGGGGTGATTTAATTCGGCGAAAAAATGGATGTTATAAAAATTTAATAGCTACTGTTACATAATTAATGTATTGTCATTGATTATGGTTTGTGTTCCTCTTTAGTGTAAAGTTAACAAATGTAAAATGTATTTTTAAATTACATATAAATTTTTATATATTTTACATTTTATTGATTGTTGTACATATCTCAGGTGTATTGTATATTATATAACTTAATTAAAATAATGTATATTTACATATTAATAAAGTACAAAATTTTTGTAACATTGTACAATTTTAAAATTAAATATATTTTTATCATAAAACATCAAGTCAGGAATATAATATGTTTTTATATTATTTTGTTTAATTTTTATTATTTTGTATGAAACACACTTGAGAAGTTCAGTCTATATCAGGAGTCGCTAACTTGAATAGGTTTACGGGTCACATAGGTAAATACAATGATACCAAGAACCTTAATGTTTATAAATACATTTTATATAATTTCATATTTTTTTTAAACTAATATCTAAAAAATTAAAATTTATAGCACAATAATAAGTAAATTTTGATTTTAAAGTAAGACGTAAGCCGTATCTGACAATGATGTGAACCATAAGTTAGCCACCTATGATCTATGTAATAAGTGGTATAAAATCCAGTTGGTACTTTGAAGATTTTCTTTAAAAGATTATTTAAAAATCCCTCATAATTAACGAATTCAATAAAATCCAAGCTGTACATGGATGCAAGATTAATATCCAACCATTCCAACCCACTATATCATTTTTTATTTTTAATATTTTAGTACACATTTTATTTACATATAAATGTATTAATACATTATATGTGTAATGCAGTATAGTATCTAGTGCAGTGTTTCTTAAACTGTGCTCCAAAGAGTTCACTCAATGGTTCCGCAAACTTATTGATTTTTTTTCAAAATACTTTAAAAAATCTTACAAAACATCAGTGATGGCTAATGGAAAAAATTCATGTTATAAAATATTAATACCACTTAGTTATCAACAACAGTAAAAAGTGTTAATACAATATTCAAATATGTACTTGCACATTAAATAGTAAACAAATTTAATGTTTGAACGTCAATAATAATTGTATTAGTTACAATCAACCATGATAGGAAAACTACTGAGAATCTTAAAGATTTTAATTTCACTGATCAAGGCAGACAACAAATATGTATTTACTTCTTGCTTTTAAGAAAATTAGAATTTTGGAAAATTTGTATATTATGCTCCAACGAGCTTGATTGCTTTCTAACAATAAACTGTTTTCAGAGGAGGAAAGGATTAAAATAAAAGATATATCTATTAAAGAAATCAATTAGCACCTTATAAGATCGAGTGAAGCATTTAACTATTACTTTCCAAACGAACATCAGAATTAATTGTTAATTAAAAAACCATTTATTGTCAATAAACTAGATTCTAGAGTATAGACAATAATATGATACTATTATTTCTACAGACTTGGTTTAAATACATCTATGTCCTATATATAGTAAAACAGAGGTATTTGTTAAACTTAAAAATGATACAAAAGGAATGAAGAAATCTTAATATATCAATATTGAGATGTTTTATTTATGAGTAATTGGTTTTCTATTAAAAAAATATTTCTTATATCGGACTAATATATAAGAGAATTTGGATTAATATCCAAGTAAAATGGAAAAAATTGTTTTTCATGTCCAGCATAGTAGATTAAACATTTTAAAAAATATTATATAACATTATATTTAGGAAAATGAGGCCATATCAGAACTATAGTAATTTTATGTAGATTGGTTAATAAAAGAATAAAAGTATGACCTAGTTTGGAATGGATACTTAAATACTCAATAGTAATGAACATGATTGTTTTTTAAACTAACACCATGAATTAGTATTTTGTAATTTCATTCATGTTATTTTTGTTAATACCATTCACTTTTTCTTTATTCTAAAAATTGTTTAGTATCTAAATGAATAATAAATAAATAATAATACTACAGAAAAGTTATTTACAACAAACAAATAAAAATTCCTCGTCAATCTTGTCAACTGATTTTCAATATACACATATATTTTTTTAAATAAACTCATATTTAAATCACAAAATGTTTTATACAAATATCAAATGTATATACACAATATTATATTAGAGTAGTATTAATAATAATAATAACATTTTAACATCACAGAACATATTATTCATATCTTAATATAATATATATTTTGCAAAAAAAATACATATACTATATTAAAACAATCACAACCAAAACCTGAGGTTATTTTAAAATATAGCATAATAAAATAGTTCACAGTTATCAAACAATAAATAATCAAAACTATACTTCGTTCTTCTAAAAACATTATCATTGTAACTACAATAAAAATAATTTGATAAAATTAAAATAGTATTCCAAAATAACTATTAATGGACACACAACATTTGGTGAAACAACGCTAGATAAAGTATAAAGTATAAACATTACATAATAAATACATTTTATAAAAATAACTTGTAATACTGTTTTATTGTGCATAATACACATACCCTATTAAATTGTACAGTGTAGTTGAATAAAAACAAATGAAAAACACTCAAGGTCTCTCTCTAGTAAACACAATAAAACAATATTACCTACACTACTTAACACATAATAATAATTAACCAATACAAATCACAACATTGTTAAGAACATGTGTTTCATTTAGAAATACATATGTAATACACAAGATGTGTCAGCGTATTACAAAGATTTGTGAATTTTACATTTAAAATTTAATTTTAAAACTGTCAAATCACTGCGATAAACTTATTTAGACATACATGTATCAATTATTAAATTTTATAGTTATAAATATAAAACTATTACTAAACAAATAACATTTTATTTTTTTTTTATTTTTTTTTTCAGTTGAATACATTATATTTTTAATATTTAATATCACATCTGAGATTGAGTTACTTTTTCTTTTACTTTTAGACAACATAAAGAATAGTGAAGTATATTCATATCAAAATATAAATGAAATAAATTTAAAACATGATATACATGAAAACGAAATAAGAATACAGTATTTATTGATAACGACAAAATACTGGATAATAAATTACTGTTTTCAAGAAATGTTATGGAAGTTTACCCTGTATAGTATCATAAGACTCAATAAATTATAAAATATTAATCATTGGGCAATAAACATATTGATTGGTGTTAACTATTTTCTGTTAACATATTTTAAGTATAACAATGAACTTTTCATAGTAAATTAAAAAAAAAATTTGCAGACTTAATAACATAAGCAATTTTTTTTTAGATGTTACTGATAATTTGCTTCTTAAGTAGAATGTTTCAAATCTTCAGTCACTTCAATACCTTTAAAGATTTGAAACAGTAAACAAATATTTTTTTCTTATTTTAGTCTTAAACATATATTTATTTAGTTTTAAAAATTGAGCATTATAAACATTGTGAACAGCTGAGGTAAATTTTTTTTTTATTTTAGAGTTTAGAACTATTACCTTGTTCAAATTGTAAGTCAAAATTTGGGATTTTCTCTTCAGGTTTCAGAAAATCTTCCATTGTTTTATCTAATTCAGGGAATAATCTAGTGTAAATGAAATAAGCTACGTCGTAATTTGACCAATACGACGTATGCGTATACAACATTGACAAGTAATTACTGGCCGATCCTCCGATACTATCTCTCAAAATATAATCCAACCGATGATTCAAATCTAAAGATAATTTTTCATATTTCACATAAAATATTATTACATTAATTCATTTTAAATAATAAAAATTAGATTACATACTTTCAACTGGTGTACCATTTCTTGAAAGTGAAAATGCATTATTTTCAAACTGATTTGAATTATTGGCTTTACTGTCATTGCTACTTGACATGTTAAGCCAAGTGCTTATTCTACGACTGAATGTTTCATTTTCTTTTTTCATATCTGGTGCTTTAGCTTCAGTACCATTGGTTTCTTCAAAGCTAGAATCCATGTTTTCAATCAGTTCTAGAGGAACTTCCGAGTAATCGCATTTTACACCATAGGCCTGAATACCAACAGGTTTATAGCGACAATAGTCTTTTGTCACTAATGGTTCAAACCTAAGATAATAAAATATTAAACATGCTCACTACCACAAATGTCAAATATACATGATTCAATTAGTACAATTATGAATAAAGTGTACCTATAAGCAACTGGGTCTGTAGGATGATAAATATTATATACTCTTTTGGCCAGCCACATTGGAAACAAGTTTAAGTTTTCTTTAAATATTTCATTTTGCCGTAATGCCAAAAATACTGACAATGGTGAACCCAAACAGAAGAAATTCTCCAACTAAATATTAATACACAAGATTAACAATTTATTTACAATGATAATATAGTGGCAACTCTTGCTAGGACTCATAGTGTATAACCCAAATAAATTACATATTAAAATTATTAGATTTTTATAGTCAATTATAATTAGTTATTAGTTATGCACATAACTTGGAATATAAAAATGTTTTACTAAAAAATAAGTTATTGTAGCTTTTCATGTTTGCAAGTGTGTCTATAAACAATTCAATAATTTGCAAAGTATAAATTTAATGTGCTCAAAACAGCTGTCCAAATATTAACTACATGTATCAATACATGAGCTATAAAATAGTCTTTTTTAACATACACTGTCACATCAATCATTAAAATTATAATACACCACCAAGCATTGACCAACTACTGTGCTCTTATATCAAAGTTAACTACTATCAATAAACAATAATATATTTAAAAAAAAAAACAAAATAAAATAATATTATGATTGTGTAAAGTTATTTTTTTTAATTTGTTATTATTTTACCAGAGCTAAAATAACTCAACAAAATTGAACATAGATAAACACATTATTTTGAATATATACTTACAACAAAATTAATTTTTTTTATTATCCTAAATAGATATATTATAAAATTATTTATGCCCCACCTTATGTAAAGCTTATGAGCTACCACTACAATATTATATTATTATTTTTTTGTCTTAAACATAATGTATATACCTCAAAATTTAAATGAATTCTTGGACTACTGTCACTTCGTTTAATCTGAAATGAATGTAATGTGTTATAATATTAAATATACATAAGAGATAAGAACAAATATTCAATACTACTCACAAATGGTTCCCATCCTGTTATAATATCATAAGAAATAACACTACCCAAAGAATGTGCCATTATTGATACTTTGAAGTCATGGTGTGGATGCCGTTCTACAAATTCGGAATGTAGCCTATTCAATTCGTTTGCCAAACTGTTTTGTATTTCTCGACCATATATTGGTGAAGTATAATACATTATATCCATAGCTGATGAATTTAATATTTGCCGTATGTTTTTCAAATTTAATGGTGTTATCTGTTCAACTAGTCCTGAATTCAAAAGAAAAGTATAAGATAAATATAATGTGTAATGTTTCATTATTTTCATTATTTGAAATACAATACCTCCATCAAAGCTACACTGTGATCTCCAATCCACAGGAAAAAATTCTGCTCTCTGTTCAGTACCTTGGAAATATTTATGTTTAATCCATTTCACGCAATCGCGAAATCTAAATTAAATATAATAGTAATACAAAATTATTAATGATTATAAACATAGGAATAAGCTATATGATAATTAATAATTTATAGTAGGTAATATTACTGTACTTGTATACTTACTGTGACGTGTTTTTTATTATTTTTTTATTATCTATTTTATGACCAATTCCATGAATCAAAAATACTAGATGAGTTATATCATTTAGTTTATCTTTTTCACTAGCATCAGTTTTGTATGATCTGATTAGTTTGTATCCAGCAGCTAAAACAATCATATAGCTTTAAGTAATACCATTGATTATAAATCAATGGTAATACATATATTTTTTATTACATTAAGTTTAACAAATGCATAATGTGAATAAAATACAAAGTTATTGTTTGTGATAAATGTAAGCCAAATACATATACTTAACTTTTTAAGGATACAATTTAAAATTTGTATTTACTATATACCATGTTTTAATAAATATAGCAAATTTACCTAACCCAATAAATCAAAACCTCAATTAAAATTTCACAACAGTTTTTAATTTATACAATTATACAAAACTTACATTTTTGGAAATAAGTTCCTAATTTTTTTGTAACACTTCTCATGATTTTTGTGTTGATAAAAGTCTTTTGTTTAAATGAATACACCTCAGCTGATGAATACCATACTACATGCATGTCCCCAAAAGTAACGTCTCTTAATACTGTAAAAATAATTAATTTTCTTAAATCTCAATTAATTAAAAATATACCTATTATATTTAAATTGTGAAAAAAAATATTAGTACCAGACTTTCCATTGTCTTCGGTGTTTTCAATTTTTCTGGTACCATCTTTGAATAGATTTAGATGTTCCCTCTCAACTTCCTCACCATATTTGTAAGGTTCATATCCATCATAAAACCAAACACCACGAAAAATGTCACTCTCTTCACCTATTTAAAAATCAATAATATGAATAAAATTAACAACAGTTATAAAATATATACTTACCAGGCCAAAATATAGATGTACACTTTTTTTTTGCTAAGTCTACTTCATAAAGACCTCCTCTCACAACAACAGTATAAAGCCCAACAAAATAATTAAAAGATCCATTCAAACTAGATACATCTTCTTCATTGCCGAAATTTGCCCTGTACCTATACTCTATATTTAATGAATCAAAACCATCAAATTTGGTCCATCTTTTGTTATCACTCTTGTAAAACCATCTAACTTTTTCAGGGCTTAGTGGTTCAAATATAATTGCAGTACTGTTGGTTACATTGTTTTCATCCTGTATGTCATCAGAAATCAAAGCCGGTTCTTCTGTTTGAAGACGATTGGTATTCATATTGTTCAATTCTGGTGCATAACTAAAATATTTTGAACAGTTAAGTCAGTAAATACAGGCGATAATGTAAACAAAAAAATGTGCAATCTTAGATATAATTAACTGATGATATAATCAGTTATGAAAAATAACAATGTAAGAATAATTAACATTATTCACCTCAATATGTGAAAAAGAATGGTTTTTTATTCTTTGTTAAAAATAAAACTGCACAAAATCGGTTGCGGGCGCTCACGATACAGCTACTAGGACAGTTTAAAACTAAATGTATAATACCTATTACATTGCTTAATTAAATCAAAACGATCTATGCTGAACGTTTGGATTTTTTAATGTTTAAAAAATGTCCACTCTTATCTACTTTATCAGTTCTGGTGTCATGCGGTTATCACTTCCAAGAATCGTTTTGAATGATAACAAAAATACAAAATATAGTGAACTGGATAGTTTTTCAAAATTAAAAAAAGGCGTTTAAATTTTAATTTTAATTAATTAAAAATGTATTCTCTCGTTCTAAATTCGCTGAATTAATAATTTAACGACATTATAGTGTTCAATAAATAATTACCCCCTGTTATCAGGTTCCATGATGTTTGGTAATTTAAGAGAAAAATTGCACAGCGTCGTTCAAGAAGGATTGTCAGCAAGGTAAATGTTACTAAAAACACATTAAATAAAAAATTTTAAAGACACTATTATATTATGACGTTATCGTCATGTTAATTGAACATTTTATTTATTCACTAAAATGCTGAAAAAATAATATAGTTACCCCAAGTTTGTTGTTTTCATTGACATTCTTTAAAACGCTATTAAAATGTACATTGTTGAGTATTTGATTTTGCTTTTTATTTTTCCGAGAAGTTAAATTTCACTTATTGATAAAACGCAATAAATCCTACTCTGTATCTGTTTGACACAATTTATAATTATTTATTTTACCAATCTAACTATAAACATCTTAAGATAAGATTTTTTCTGGTTTATATTTTATAATATTAGATAATAATTTATTGATATTTACTTAAAGTTTGTTGTAAACAGTTAAAGACTATGTAAAATTATGCATCTAACTTGATGTATTTATAGTAAATGTTAACTAATTCTTTACATAAAACTGAAATATGTTCTTTTCTTAATTTATACTCAAAACTCTAATATACAATGTGATTTACCAAGTCTGCTCACTTCCTTTTTTTCCAATAATGCAATAATCTAAAATCTGATTTTTTACATTTTTTCATATAATTTAAAACAAAATTTTCTAATTCCTGAGATTTTTTTATATGTGACCTATGAAGAAACAAATTCTTATTAAGCAAAAAATTTTTCTTAAAATGTTGATACATCAAAATCAAAATTTAAATAAGTAGTTTTGAAGTAATTTAACTTTGTATACTATCCTTTGGTTCTTGATAATGGATTAGAAATTTTTATTAACCTATTAATATTTATAATTTATAAAAATGGTTGAATATATATAATTCAACTACCTTGTAATTTATAAAATTATAAGTATTCATTCTTATTAATCAGGGCCATTTATGTTGTTTATTTTTTAGTTACTTTACTAAACAAACTGTCTTATCTAAATCAAATATAATAAAATCTTTTATCTTATCCATGTGTACTAAATTTGTATTTGTATTTGATATATTATTAAAATATAAAACAAAATTTTTAGTAGGTTCTTAGTTTTTTTTTTTTTTTTTATACATTAATGTCATACATTTTCATTAATTTCTAATGTGTAATCAGAGTAGCTTAAAACGTGCTTATTTTATAGTAGGTACTATAAAAATATATAGAATCCAAAATAAATATAAAATTAAAAAATTTTATTTAGTGAATAAGTTCTTCTGATCTTTGTTCTTTGACCTAAATGTTATTATAAATATAGGTTAAATGTAAATTATGAAACTTATGTAATAATATTAATATCTATTAGATAATAAGGTAACTATTTAAAAAAAATTAATTAATTATATCACTGTTTTCAATATATACAACATACATAGTAGAGGGGCCCATTTTTTCATATTTTTATACCTTTACATAATTATTTTAAATCATCCCTGAAATAAAATAAAAATTTTATTGTGTGTAGTTTATTCTTAAAATATAAATAGATATAAAATACTTTTTACTTTATGCTGAACTAATTTTTTGATATTTTAATACAAAATATCACTCTTTATTTCTATTCTCTACATAATTAAAACCACTATAACTATCGATTTTATATCAGTAAAACACATATTTTATTTATTCAAATAATTTACCATGATACAAACCATCTTATTATAAAAATAATGTATTCATTATTCATTAATTTTCATGATTTAATATTAAAACTGTGTTATTTTATATAAATCTAGATTCTAGATTATTGTTATTGAATTGATAAGTACATTAATTTAAAGATATTTTAATAAAATATTATTTATTTATATACATATCTCTTTATTGCTTACCTTAAATTAATTCAATATTAAATTTAATTAAGGACTATAGTTATATAAGAATGACTGAACATTTATAAATCAATTTATGTTGAACAGTTTTAATATAATTCAATAGAGAACATGTTATTCATTTAAATACTTAGCATTATTTTATAATAAATTATCTTATCTAAATGTGAGTCAACAATGTAATAATAATAATGCTTAAATAGTTATATATTTTATTTAATTTTATATTATTTGATTAGAAAGTTATTTATTAATAACTATTTTATAATTCTTATAAGTTAAGAGAATTTTAGTATAAAATTTTAATCACTAAAATAATAACTTTTATAATTATAAACAATATTACTTTTTATTTATTGGTGGTGTTGGCACAGACAATACCTACATAAGCTACAAAATAATATTCTGCCTTTTATTTTAAAGTAAACACGACATATTAATAGTATGGAAAATTAAGAATATTAAATTTATTGAAACCCATAAACTTTTTCTGTTTATTCTGAATTTTTTTCTTATATTTTACTGTAGTATTTATATAAATTTGCTTTAACCATTACTGATGATTTTTGATGACAAATCTTATCCAATCTGTACATTTGGAGATATTCTCAGTACTTAATTTTATTATCAATATTATAAAATTACTAAAAGAAATAAAAAAAAACAGGAATATTTACTCAACATCACACATTTTCAAAATCATCTTTAATTAGCATTTATAGACATGAAATCATTTTTCAAAATATATTGGCTTTGTTTTAGCTATTTATAGATATTTGAAATTTTCTTGAACATTTTTTAATTTAGTATAAAGAAATTATTCTTATCCAAAAAGTTTAAAAATGTAGTTGAAGGTCCCTTACCTATAATATTTATTATTTATGTTAGAGGTTCAAATTTGAATGACACATTGGACGTTTAATTAAAACAGTGGCGTATTTAGAAACTTATTTTGGGGGGAAGGTGTCATACCTAATAGTGAAATAATTTTATAAATTAGTTTAAAATGTTCTTTATTAACTTATTGAATTCAAACTATTAACAAACTACCATAAAAAAATCACAAATTATATTATAAATTCTAGTTTTTGTTTTTTATTTGCCAATTCATCAATAACTTCATCGGTTTTTAATTATTGGGAATACAAATGTTGGATCTGGTTTCCAAAGATTAATTATTAATACATCATTAATTTCAGAAGGTTGTAAACTTTTATTGATAAAAAATGCAATGTCATTTGAACTGAAATTATTAGTATCAGTTATAAAGTTAGTTGAATTATGACAGTTAAATGTTTAAAATTTGACGTTTTCAGATTTTATAGTTAGTCTTGTACTATATAGTATATATACTTTTTATTTTTATTGACAAAAAATATATATATATACATGATAATTTAAAAAAAATATAACATTTTATCAATTATCTATCTTCATTAAGCTAGGCTTGTTTTGGTGATAGAGAGTTCGAAATATTTAAATAATATAGAATGTAAATTATAAAACTAATAATAAATACAATTAAGCAATATTATTTAGTACATGATAAAAAATATCAGTTTTAAAAAGATTTAATATAATATAATACATATACAAATAAACTTCTTGTATATTGAAATATGAAACATAAAAATAATATTAACATACTATAATGTAAACAATGAAAATTAAATTTATTTAATTAAGTTTACTAAACTGCACAATAACCTTTTTTTAATTTTTTTTTTTTTTTATAGTATAATAATTCCTGCATTACGTTAAAATCCAATGAATGAAATATAGTAGGCCCAAGATTATTTATGAATTTTTTACCACAAGTTGTTTTTACTAAATTAACTTTAGTATTTAAAGCCTTGTGTTCTTTTATTTTGGTTTGTTTCTGTATTGTACCACACATATCTATTTTTCTCAACTCAATTTATCACAAATTTTTTGGTAAATCAATCTTATTGGCAATAATTTAAAATCTTTAATTTTGGTTTGTAGAACGTTCCAAATTTTTTTTATCAAAATAAATTCTTATAATTTTATTTTTTTGAAGTTGTAAAGATTTTTAAGAATTTTTAGATAATCCACCCCACAATAAACATCCATATCGAATAATCCCCTGTTATAAGGCTAAATAGTAAATATATATTATGCTTTATATCTAAATTTATAAAATTTATTAATTGACAATTGTAGCCGCATTACTGTATTGTTTATATGTAAATTCCATCTTAGGATGCAATCAAATGTTATACCTAAGTATCTGGTACATTAAACTATTAAAAACTTTTTTAAATAAATACTTATTGCATTCAGCTACATCATTACAAAAATGTATAGTAATTTTATCAATAAGAATATTGAATGATATTTATTAAATGTTATAAAATAGGTTTGTTTTTATACTTTAAGATAATTTTCATGAGTTTTATAATCATTATTCATTTTTAAATGATGATAAATCATTTAAATATTCAAATGATAAGAATAATACATATTAATTCAAGATAACTTTAATTTTAAGTTAGTGTTATTCATATTGTACATCATGCCAAAAATATTTATGCTTCAATTTTAAACTACAGGTAATATACCTGATACAATAAAAACATTATTATAGTACATTGTATTCTAAGTGTTATTTATTCATATGTTTTATACATTCAATAATACGAGTAAAATGGTGATTTAAAATTTACTTTTATTGTGTTTTAATTTTAATTACATTCAAATATTTTATGTATATTTAAATCTATTTTTCAGTATTAAGAAACTATATGGTACTTAGTGATGCATAATGATATTAATAAATGTTTTCTATTATTAATTGTTTTTAATAAATCAATAATAAAAAAATTGTATTGCAAATATCTTTATTGTATTTGTTATTTATTATTAATGATCT